GCTGGGTGGGTTATCCGAGCCTGGGGTTAACTATTGAGTGGGCTAGCTGAGCCAGGAGCTGACTGAGTTAGAAGTACCTGGCTTTGAAAGCTGGGCAGGTCATTTGGGCCTTGGCTTGAGAGTTAGGTGACATAGGTGGTTGACCTGAGCTAAAGAGTTGAGATAGTTTGGGCCTGGTTTTGTAAGCTGAGTGAGGTAGCTTGGCTTGGTCTTGAGAGTTAGTTACATTAGTTCATTAATTAATTTAATTTCGGCAATTTGTTATGTTTTTTTCAGAATTCATTTCCTATCTTCGGCATTTGTTTCATGCATTAGTTGGATTAAACATTTTTTTGGATTTTTTCTGAAAGATTGCCATATATTCGACAAATTGTCGAATTTACTGGATTCAAGTCTGAAGGAGTCAATATTTTTTAAATGCTCGCCCTACCCACCAAGAGAAATGGCATGACGGCATGAGCTGATTGGACAATATCAACTGCTGTCATTTGCATCTGACTTAACGAATGTAATGAAATTCAGATCCATTCGTTAAACAAATCCGAATTATGGAACAAATTTGAAAATTTTATTTCTCCATGGGCCCGAACTACTATCACATCACGTGACGTCATCAAAATAAAACAAATGCATTTGTTACTTTTGTTATAACTTTTTTTCTAATTCATTGACATTCATTACTATGTCCATTTGGATCATCTCTAATAGGTCCTCCTCAGCCACTGGAATACCTGAAAAAAAGGCTGACTCTCAAGCTGAGATCTACACATCTATGAGGACATACAGGCCATACACACAGAGCACAAGGCCGGGGTCACACCACCAGACGGTTCTCGGGGGCTGCAGTTCCTTTGAGCTCCACAAGGTGGGAATATCACTTCTACCCAGACAGGAAGTCTCTATGGAAGACAGGAAGTGGTGTCAGGGACAGACAGGAAGTGATGTCAAGTTATAAATAGGAAGTTTCAGGTGAGAGGTGAGTCTGGAGGAAGTAGAGAGGAGACATTGCTGGCAGTGGTAGCAGAGGAGGTAATAAGATCTGATTTTATATTTACACCCAGTAACCCCCCCCCCCCCCCCGTCATGTCCGTCCTCTATTGTCATGTCAGTCCTCTTCTTCCTTTGTCGTGTCCGACCTCTTTCTCCACCGTCACGTCCGTCCTTTTCCTCCACCGTCACATCCGTCCTCTTCCTCCATCATCACGTCCATCATCTTCATTGTCAAGTCCGTCCTCTTCCTCCATTGTCATGTCTGTCCTTCGTTCATCATGTCCGTCCTCTTCCTCCATAGTCACGTCCGTCCTCTTCCTCCATAGTCACCACCGTCCTCTTCCTCCATCGTCACGTCCATCATCTTCCTCCATCGTCACGACCGTCCTCTTCCTCCATTGTCACTCCGTCCTCTTCCTTCCTTCGTTCGTCACGTCCGTCCTCTTCCTTCGTTCGTCACGTCCGTCCTCTTCCTTCGTTCGTCACGTCCTTCCCTCTCTCCTTCGTTCGTCACGTCCTTCCTCTTCCTTCGTTCGTCACGTCCTTCCTCTTCCTTCGTTCGTCACGTCCTTCCTTCGTTCGTTCACGTCCTTCCTTCGTTCGTCACGTCCTTCCTTCGTTCGTCACGTCCTTCCTTCTTCGTCACGTCCTTCCTTCTCGTATCGTCACGTCCTTCCTCTTCCTTCGTTCGTCACGTCCTTCCTCTTCCTTCGTTCGTCACGTCCTTCCTCTTCCTCGTTTCGTCACGTCCTTCCTCTTCCTTCGTTCGTCACGTCCGTCCTCTTCCTCCATCGTCACGTCCTTCCCCTTCCTTCATCTTCTTCCTCCATGATCACGTCTGTCCTCTTCTTCCATTATCGTGTCCATCCTCTTCTTCCTCATTGTGTCTGTCCTCTTCCTCTGTCGTCACGTCCATCCTCTTCCTCCATCACGTCCTTCCTCTTCCTCCATAGTCATGTCCATCCTCTTCCTCCACCGTCGCTCCCGTCCTCTTCCTCCACCGTCGCGTCCTTCCTCTTCCTCCACCGTCGCGTCCTTCCTCTTCCTCCACCGTCGCGTCCGTTCCTCTTCCTCCACCGTCGCGTCCGTCCTCTTCCTCCACCGTCGCGTCCGTCCTCTTCCTCCACCGTCGCGTCCGTCCTCTTCCTCCACCGTCGCGTCCGTCCTCTTCCTCCATAGTCACTATGATGTCTTTTATCTCCAGCAGATGATGATACACACATATATAGTGTGGGAACCCAGATTAACCCCTTCAGGGGCAGAACATTCCCCCACTTCCGGGGCCGGAACATTCTCCTCATTGTGGAGATGTCACCTTTCCCATCTTAGCAGTGGGAGGAAATGAGATTCGGAATCGGGTTTCACTGAAACTTGACCCAAAATTCCATGCTTCAAATTCTGAGATCCCCCAGTAATGGGAGGAGGTGGATAATCCCACCCCTCACTATAAGAGGGGATCTGAGCTCATTCTGGGTTGCTCCAAATTTAAGGTGCGCAAAATTTACCAAACGTTCCCCAAACACGAACCCCACCTCGAATTCAAGGTCATGGCAGACCTGAATCTCACTTTTTTAAAATTGCTTCCACTGATCTGTCCCTATGAAGGGGAGCTCTTCCCGTCCATTCACTATCACCAGATCCAAAAACACTGACACTAGGCCTAGTCTCACACACTGAGGGGTGGGGTTACCAACCTCCTCCCCCTAATATTGGCTGATCTCAGGCCTCCTCCGGGTTTGGGGGCGCCCTGTGAAAGCCTGTAGCTTCTAACTCTGCATTTTGGTGCAACATACAAACATGGCAATCTCCAGTTAAAGGACAAAACAGGCAGGTAGGACAAAGGTTTACAGAGGGCAAGAAACACAACTTACAGGAACCCAATCTACATGTGACTATTCCCTTCAGGGGCAGCCCAATTATTACCCCCCCCCCCCATATCCCCATCCTAATATTCTACAACCAATACAGTCCAGGTAACTTTCCCCTATCCATCTACAGAGAAACCCACCTAGGTCACATCTTTGAGGATGGAGGAGGACCACAGTCACATGACTGAGAGGATACTAAACCTCACCCTGGAGATCATCTACCTGCTGACCGGAGAGGTGAGGAGGATTCTGGGAGGTCAAATGACATCACTTTTATCTCTATTAATAAACACAGACCTGACCGGAGAGGTGAGGAGGATTCTGGGAGGTCACATGACGTCACTCTCATCTCTATTAATAAAACACAGACCTGACCGGGAGAGGTGAGGGGGATTCTGGGAGGTCACATGACATCACACTCATCTCTATTAATAACACAGGACTGGAGAGGTGAGGAGGATTCTGGGAGGTCACATGACATCACACAGACCTGACCGGAGAGGTGGGGGCACCACATGACATCACACAGACCTGACCGGAGAGTGGGGAGGATTCTGGGAGGTCACATGACATCATACAGACCTGACCTGACCGAGAGGTGAGGAGGATTCTGGGAGTCTAACATGATGTTCCTATTGGTTCCCCAATACAGAGATTTCCTCCTTTGAAGTTTGGTTGCCATATGTCCATCACAGTGCCTCCATGTGACTCCCTAAAGCCCAAGAGAAATAATGTGGAAAAGATTCTAAAAGTCACCAGCAAGATCACTGAACTTCTGACTGGAGAGCTGAGCAATGCCGGGAATTCTGGAAAATTCTTTATTGAGGAAATTGAGTATTTAGAAGGACATAAGGACCTCTACAAGGACGTCATGATAGACAATCAGCCGCCCCTCACATCACCGGGTAAGAGGAGACTTTATTGGAAAGGAGAGAGCAGTACGGAGGCTCCACCTAGATCCCCCATCATCTGATAAACACATAGAAACAATGGATTCAGTCAGTGTGTGTGTTTTTTCCTACAGATGGATCCAGTCATGGGAACCCACCAGAGAGATGTCCCCGTCCTCTGTATTCCCGGGATTCCACACAGGACGGTCACACCATCCCTCACCATCATCAGGTATGTGAGAGAAACAATTACTGCTGGTTTTGAGTTATACGCAAACCTGTTATAATGAACATCTTATTATATATTCAGAGTGGAAGCCTCAGAGATTTTAATATCATTGTTAAAGAAGAGTTTACGGATGAGGATGAGGAGTATGGTGTAATGGAGGAGCTCTCTGAAGGACATGAGGATTACTACAAGGACATTACAAAGAAGCCATCTAATAAGAGAAACCCACCAGAGAGGTGTCCCCGTCCTCTGTATTCCCGAGATTCCACACAGGAAGGTCACACCATCCCTCACCATCAGGTCGGTGGAGTTGAGGGTCGGGAACATAAAGTGATGGAACACTCTGACATGTGGAGACGATGTGTGGACTCTACAAGATGAGATGTTCTATGTGATCTCACATCATAAATCCTTCTATGTTACAGATGTTATTTTCTGCCATTCTGTTGGTTTAGGGTGAAGATCTGATGAACATGAAAGTTGAGGGTGAAGTAGAAGAGACGTATGTGAGGGATGATCAGCAATATACGGAGGAGGCTGGAATGAGGAGGACATTCATAGAGGAGGACACTTCTACAGAGATCAGCACAGGTGAGGGTCACAAGTCTGAACTTGGACCTTCTTGTCTATCAGAGATCACATGACCCAGTGCCTAGGCTTGAGGTTGTGTGAAGAGCATGCCCCTCCCCCTCCCCCCATTGGTTCCTGCTCCTCTTCCAAGGCGGTGTAAATATAGAAGTGATCTGGGAGGACCAAAGGTCTTTTGACTGAAGAGGGGAGGAGTCCCTAGCCGGTTGGGACATCCACAGAGAACATCTGCTCCCTCCTATCTCCCTGATCCAGATGGAATCTTGATGGAAGTAAACTAACCCTCTCCTATCTATTGATGATGTTTTTCTATTTTTTCCAGGACCTGCCATGGAGAAACCCTCAAAGGATCGTCTCACTTTATCTCCAGGTTGTAAAATGGAAGATGAGGACATCCCAGGAGATTGTGCCGGAGAAAAGACAATGAGCTCCACTATGGATGGTGGACTTCCCAGTATAGATGGGCCATCTAGATCATCTGATTCTTGGCGGCCTTGTACTGGGTGGGATGATTCTGGAATTCGGGGGGATGAGAACTTTTCCTGTCCTAAATGTGGGGAAAGTTTTTACTCTGAATTAAGTCTTTCTATACATCAGCGATCTCACACTGAGAAGAAGCAATATTACTGCTCTGAGTGTGGGAAATGTTTTTCAAAGAGTTCCCACCTTAGCTCACATCAGAGATTGCACACAGGCGAGAAGCCGTATTCCTGTTCGGAGTGCGGAAAACGTTTTTTCCCATAAATCCAATCTTACTTCACATCATAGATTGCACACAGGTGAGAAGCCATTTTCTTGCCCCGTGTGTTGGAAAAGTTATACACGGAAAACAGAACTTGTTATACATCAGAGATCCCACACAGGGGAAAAGCCATTTTCCTGCCCTGAGTGCGGGAAATGTTATATACGGAAATCAGATCTTGCCACACATCGTAGATCACACACAGGGGAGTTGCCGTATTCCTGCTCTGAGTGTGGGAAATGTTACCCACGAAAATCAAAACTTGCTGTACATCAGAGATCTCACACAGGGGTGAAGCCATATTCTTGCGCTGAGTGCGGGAAATGTTATTCACTGAAATCAGATCTTCTTATACATCAAGTTTCTCACACTGGGGAGAAGCCAAATTGAGTGCGGGAAATGTTCTTCACGGAAGTCTTGTCTTATGAACCATCAGAACCCACACAACCCTCGTATTGGTGTTCTGAGTGTGGGAAATGTCTTCTATATGGATGATATGTTGCCATACATCAGAGATCCCACACAACCCTCGAGGTGTATTAGTGTCCTGAGTGCGGGAAATGTCTTTTATATGGATGAAATGTTGCCGTACATCAGAGATCTCACACTGGGAAGAAGCACACCTTGATATACACCTCAGAAAACACGTGGCTGAGTGCTCCTCTGATCTTTATCATGGAAGAAACACTTTATAAGGAGATCAGAGATCACTAAAGACTTCAAAGTTGTGTCTGGCTTCCTCTGCTAGGAGGGGGGGGGGTCACTGCTGGTTGGGTCCCTCTAGCAGTGTAGTCTGATCTCCCCTGACCTTCAGCAGAAGCTTCCATGGAGGACATCATGGTGAGAGAGAAGGAGGGGGGGTCACTGCTGGTTGGGTCCCTCTAGCAGTGTAGTCTGATTTCCTCTGACCTTCAGCAGAAGCTTCCATGGAGGACATCCTGGTGAGAGAGAAGGAGAGGGGTTACTGCTGGTTGGGTCCCTCCTGCTGTGTAGTCTAATCTCCCCTGACCTTCAGCAGAAGCTTCCATAGAGGACATCATGGTGAGAGAAAGAAGGGGGGGGGGGGGGTCAATGCTGGTTGGGTCCCTCTAGCAGTGTAGTCTGATCTCCCCTGACCTTCAGCAGAAGCTTCCATGGAGGACATCATGGTGAGAGAGGAGCTAGACATTGCTTGTGGATGAAGAGAAGGTGAGATCAGACTACATGGGAATGCAGTAGTTAGCACCCTGCACTGACATCTTCATTTGCATGGAGAGAGCCACCTGCAGATAAAAGTGTAACAAAATGACATTTTCTGAAGTAACTTTTCTTAATTTCCATAATAAAATGCAAATCTATATATGTGTGAAGAGAAAAAAGTGAATGTTTTACTAATGGCTAAATGATAATATTAAGTGCTTATATGCTAATGTTCGGCTCTGTATATTATAACAGATCCCACTGCTAGAATGACTTTGTATATGAAATGTTAATAAAACCTCTTTTCCTTTCTCTGGGATGTCTGGTGTCTCTATAATCCAGATATTCTGCAGTGGGAGTCCAGGTCACCGTCAGGCTGATAAGGCGTTCCTAAATAAAAGAAATGAATGTTTCTTGTCATGGTCGATGTGCACACTGTGCGGGGTAACATGTACTAGGAGGTCCTTCATGGGAACTGTCCAGTGTTGGAGGGTAAAATCTTCCCCTTTTGTTGAAGAGTCCGGTCCCAAAACCAAAAAAGGAGGGTACAGAGCCAGAGAGGTTGGCTCTGTACCATGTGATCACTATGACTAATCATAATGTAGCCTGCTTCCCCTTTTATTTCATACACTGATTGGCTGTGAGGGAAAAGGGAGAGCTTACCATGATGATCACCGGCAGCACCTGTATATATTTCATCTAATACTAGTGTAGGCCAACACAAATGTCCTGATTGCCAGCCACGCCGGCACCAGTGTCACCGAGCACCAGTGAGAGACAGAACCAGTGTCCCGATTGCCAGTCACACCAGTACCAGTGTCAGCCGAAAGCAGTGTCCTGGACTGGCCACAGAAGTACTGTCATCTGGACACCAGTCACCCCAGTTCCAGTGCCACCTAGTACCAGTGTAAGACAGAACAGTGTCCTGATTGCCAGTCACACCAGTTCCAGTGCCACCTAGTACCAGTGTAAGACAGAACCAGTGTCCCGATTGCCAGTCACACACCAGTACCAGTGTCAGCCGAAACCAGTGTCCTGGACTGGCCACAGAAGTACTGTCATCTGGACACCACACCCCAGTTCCAGTGCCACCTAGTACCAGTGTAAGACAGAACCAGTGTCCTGATTGCCAGTCACACCAGTTCCAGTGCCACCTAGTACCAGTGTAAGACAGAACCAGTGTCCTGATTGCCAGTCACACCAGTTCCAGTGCCACCTAGTACCAGTGTAGGCCAGCATCAGAGTACCAATGTAAGCCAATGTGTCCTGATCTCCAGCCACACCAGTACCAGTGTCAGCAAGCACCAGCACCTTGGTCGCCAACCACACCAGTTCCAGTGCCACCTAGTACCAGTACCTTGGTCACCAGCCACGCCAGTACCAGTAACCAGTGGTCAACGCCAGTACCAGTGTCAACAAGCACCAGTACCTTGGTCGCCAGCCACGCCAGTACCAGTGTCAACAAGCACCAGTACCTTGGTCGCCAGCCACGCCAGTACCAGTGTCAACAAGCACCAGTACCTTGGTCGCCAGTGTCAACACGCCAGTACCTTGTCGCCAACAAGCACCAACAAGCACCAGTACCTTGGTCGCCAGCCACGCCAGTACCAGTGCCAACAAGCACCAGTACCTTGGTCGCCAGCCACGCCAGTACCAGTGTCAACAAGCACCAGTACCTTGGTCGCCAGCCACGCCAGTACCAGTGTCAACAAGAACCAGTACCTTGGTCCAGCCAGCCACACCAGTACCAGTGTCAACAAGCACCAGTACCTTGGTCGCATGCCACACCAGTACCAGTGTCAACAAGCGCCAGTACCTTGGCCGCCAGCTACACCAGTTCCAGTGTCATCTAGTACCAGTACCTTGGTCACCAGCCACACCAGTACTAGTGTAAGCCAACATTATTCTCTTGACTACCAGCTCACCACTACCAATGTAGGCCAGCACCAGTGTTTTGATTGCCAGCCACACCAGCACCAGTGCCATCTAATACCAATTTAGGCCAGCATCAGAGTACCAATGTAAGCCAATGCAAGTGTCCTGAGCACCAGCCACACCAGTTCCAGTGCCACCTAGTACCAGTGTTGGACAGCACCAGTGTTTTAGTTGTCAGCCAGACCAGTGCTAATGAAATCTAGAACTAGTGTAAGCTGGAACCTGATGTTGAGGTGTTCCGATCAACCGAACAACAGAGAAAAATTCCCAGCTCACCTTACCAGCCAACCTGCAACCAACCAACTGAATTGTCTTGTCCAGCAGTTAAACACGGGGGTTTAGTTTGCACACATGTGCAAATACATGTGTAAGCTGCAGAGCCTTGTCATGGTACCCCGATATTCTGCAGTTCCGAACTGGGATTTGTGCTAGGAGAAAGAATTGAGGGGGGAGGGGATTTATGCTAGGAGGGGGGTTTGATTTGTGCTAGGAGGGGTACTTGGGGGGGATTTGTGCTAGGAGAGGGAATTGGGGGGATTTATGCTAGGAGGGGAGTTGGGGTGGGATTTGTGCTAGGAGGGGTACTTGGGGGGGGGGGGGGGGGGGTTTGTGCTAGGTGAGGAATTGAGGAGGGGGGGGATTTATGCTAGTAGGGAGGGTTAAGGGTGGGATTTGTGCTAGGAGGTGGACTTGAGGGGGGGGATTTGTGCTAGGTGAGGGAATTGAGGGGGGGGGGGAATTTATGCTAGTAGGGGGGTTGGAGGAGGGATTTGTGCTAGGAGTGGTACTTGAGGGGGGTGATTTGTGCTAGGAGAGGGAATTGAGGGGGATTTATGCTAGGCGGGGTTGGGGGTGGGATTTGTGCTAGGAGGGGTACTTGAGGGGGGATTTGTGCTAGGAGAGGGAATTGAGGGGGGGAATTTATGCTAATAGGGGGGTTGGAGGTGGGATTTGTGCTAGGAGTGGTACTTGAGGGGGGTGATTTGTGCTAGGAGAGGGAATTGAGGGGGGATTTATGCTAGGCGGGGGGTTGGGGGTGGAATTTGTGCTAGGACGGGTACTTGAGGGGGGATTTGTGCTAGGAGAGGAAATTGAGGGGGGGATTTATGCTAGGAGGGGGGTTGGGGGTGGGATTTGTGCTAGGAGGTGGACTTGTGATAGGAGAGGGAAGTGAGAGGGAGGTTTATACAAGGAGGGGGGTTGGGGTGGGATTTGTGCTAGGAGGGGGACTTGAGGGGTGATTTGTACTAGGAGAGGGAATTGAGGGGGGATTTATGCTAGGAGGGGGGTTGGGGTGGGATTTGTGCTAGGAGGTGGACTTGAGAGGGGGATTTGTGCTAGGTGAGGGAATTGGGGGGGGGGGATTTATGCTAGTAGGGGGGTTGGGGGGGGGGGGGATTTGTGCTAGGAGTGGTACTTGAGGGGTGATTTGTGCTAGGAGAGGGAATTGAGGGGGGGGATTTATGCTAGAAGGGAGGTTGGGGGTGGGATTTGTGCTAGGAGTGGTACTTGAGGGGTGATTTGTGCTAGGAGAGGGAATTGAGGGGGGATTTATGCTAGGAGGGGGTTTGGGGTTGGATTTGTGCTAGGAGGGGTACTTGAGGGAGGGATTTTTGCTAGGAGAGGGAATTGAGGGGGGATTTATGCTAGAAGGGGGGTTAAGGGTGGGATTTGTGCTAGGAGGTGGACTTGAGGGGGGGATTTGTGCTAGGTGAGGGAATTGAGGGGGGGGGGGGATTTATGCTAGTAGGGGGTTGGAGGTGGGATTTGTGCTATGAGTGGTACTTGAGGGGGTGATTTGTGCTAGGAGAGGGAATTGAGGGGGGATTTATGCTAGGCGGGGGTTGGGGGTGGAATTTGTGCTAGGAGGGGTACTTGAGGGGGGATTTGTGCTAGGAGAGGAAATTGAGGGGGGGATTTATGCTAGGAGGGGGGTTGGGGGTGGGATTTGTGCTAGGAGGGGACTTGAGGGGTGATTTGTGCTAGGAGAGAGAATTGAGGGGGATTTATGTTAGGAGGGGGGTTGGGGGTGGGATTTGTGCTAGGAGGTGGACTTGAGAGGGGGATTTGTGCTAGGTGAGGGAATTGAGGGGGGGGGATTTATGCTAGTAGGGGGGTTGGGGGGGGGGGGGGGGATTTGTGCTAGGAGTGGTACTTGAGGGGTGATTTGTGCTAGGAGAGGGAATTGAGGGGGGATTTATGCTAGGAGGGGGGTTGGGGGTGGGATTTGTGCTAGGAGTGGTACT